AAAAGCCTCTGTCACCTCTTGTATTGAGATTAGTTTTGGGTACAACCAACTGAAGCTGGTCAGCTGATGTCAGGGCTCTGGGTGGAGTTTAGAGCTGCAGTAACTCCCTCAGATAAACTGGACCCATGGAGTACAGACATTTGAAAACAATTAATACCATGTTAAATTGTATCTGATATAAGACAAGGAGCCAGTGCAGGTTCCACAGCACAGGTTTAATGTGTTCACGTTTCTTAGTATTTGTCAACAGACGAACTGCAGAGTTCTGGTCTAAACCTACATACAAAGAATTAAAATAGTCCAGGTGTGATGTTACAAAAGCATAAATAGCTTTTTCCAACTCTGCCTGTGGGAGGTTGGGCTTTATTTTAGTGAGGAGCCTCAACTGAAAGAAGTTGGACTTTATCACATAATCATATTCTATGACACCACGTGATGATGTCATGTCCCAGATGGGGGTAAGAGCCAAATTTCCCATTTAATCTGTACTTTGCCATAAAACAGCCTGTTTCAAAGCCAGGTCCTGTGATTGACTCTTACAGGAGTTTGCATGTTTCTCCCCGTGTGTTTTTACATTGAATATGTAAGTGTTGTGCTGCCCCCTTGTGGCGCTGATGTTACACAATAAAGTGAAAGTCAAAACTTCCCCGTCTCACTTTTTTTTTTTTTTTTTTTTTTTTTTAAATCATAGAATATAGTTGATCAGCACAGTGCTGTGTGTCACTGTGGTATTTGTGGTACGTACTTGTTAAATCAGGTAGATGCTGTAGACATCTAGTGACCACAGTTTGAGCTTTAATTCATTTTAACTTATTGAGATGAAATGAATATATTTACTACTCTGACGCCGTAAATGTGACGCTTAGGACGATCTACCTGCTCTAACAGAGACGCACACTAATTCATGAGCACGAGAAACACCCCTTGTTATATTTTACAAACGTCCCTTGAAGGCTTCAGTTGTTCGTTGATATTTTAAAAGAAGAGACGTGTGTTCATCTACTGCGCATGCTCAGTGATGGTGAAAGTTTTTACTTTCGCTTCAAGATTATGGCGCAGTAAAACATTCAGACGGTGAGTTTTATTTCCATTAACTAAAAATCTATAATAAACCTTCTACATGTAATAGCTGGACTGAGGTCGTAGAAATGAGGTTTAGATAAATACAGATAATGTTATTAGTCTAATTACCACGAACAACTGATGAAAACTGAGATCGATTGGGAGTGTCAGTGCTTTTTTCTAGTAAACAAAAGTAGGTCAAGTAGGCCTCTTCCTCGACTGGATAAGATTAAAATACTACAATAAGTCTATTCTTGGGAACCATAGCTAAGATACAGGACTAGAAGAAACATGGCGATAAAAGTCCTTTGTTAGAAGTTTTGCTCATCATGCTTTTTTCCTCCAGATGTGATTTTCCCTTCTGACACCATGGCAGCTCGATTTGGCAAGTACATTTCATTCTAAACTTTTGACACTGACACACATTTAATAATGAGCTGTTCATTCTGGGATCAAATATTTGAAGATGAGAAATGGTGGTCACCCACCTTCGGTTAATATTATACCAAGATTTGCTTTCTCTGGACTCATATATACTGCTGCAGGCAGAGGCGGTGCCACCATTAGGCAAAAGTAGGCACCTGCTTAGGGTTCCTGAATCTGGAGACAATTGCCATTGCCATTACCACTAATGGCCTTAGTGAAATGTGATTTTCTCTTAATATAACATTAAATGAGAGTAGTTTACTTTAAAAAAAAAATTATTAGTAATAATTTAAATTATCAAAGCAAACTGTCAAAGAATTACAGTCACGAAATGCAATGAAACAGTTACGCTTTCACAGACGTGATTTGACTGTCATCACTTAACAGTCATTATTTATTGAGAATTGAGCAAAACATTGATTGAGATGCTGCATTTTTGTGCCACACACGCCACGGACTGAACCAGGAATAACCCAGGACTGTACCAGGAGGACTAAACCAGGACTGAACTAGGACTAAAATGGGACTAAAACAGGACTAAAACAGGATTAAAACAGGTCTAAACCAGAACTGAACCAAGGATCACTGTCGGGACGGGCTCGGAGGTGCGTCCGCATTGTCCATTGGGTGACCGGGGGTGAAAGGACCGGTGCAGAGCTCCACGCCCCACAGAGCTAAATGCAGCCATCACCCGATCACGCTTTGTGGACACCTTGGGAACAAAACATGACCAGTTGTACCAGTAAAATAAATGTTCTTACAGGTGTTCAGGATTATTTTATTAATCGGCTGGCATGCGATGAGAGTCAAAATTACAGGGCCCTGATAGAAGGGCAGACTTATCTGCAGTCCAGGTGGATTGGCTAGATTCTGCGCACCATCGCAGAGGAGGTCATCACGTTGAAGGATGTCGTCAGGTTCTCACAAGCAGCGAATTCTTACCACAACATGGAAATATAGAAGGACTTTGGCTAAAATTTGAGCAACTACGGCTACGGGACCAACACGCTACTACTTCTGCTACTTTCTTACTACTTCTGTGTTTCGCAGGATTTGTCTATATTGTAGTGATAAGGCTTCAGATACATAGACCCCATGGTAGATCATATAGAGGGGATGTTATTACAGAAACACATGGTCACAGTGATGTTAGAAGTCAGTTTAATTACTTTATTACACATTTACAACAACATCTGCCCAAAGTGTTTCACATGCATAATGGTGAACTAAAACAAAAGGAAGCTAGTGCAAGAGCAAACATTTAGATATGTACACATACAAAACAAGTACAAAACAGACCAAATACAACATACGTGTACTACAAAGCCTCTCTGTAGTTGTAAGATCATCACACCTATGCAAAAAAGGAAATAAATAATAACATACAAAAACAACTCTAAAAAGGTGCAACATCATTAGTAACAGATCTGTATGTTCTGACTGTTTTGTTTTGTATTTGCAGATGTTCCACGGAAGCGCAGCAATAGTTTACCATTTTTACCACCTTTCAGTAAGTAAATAAAAAATATATAACAGAATATCCTACTTCTAAATAACCCTGCATATTTTTGCTTTTTTAAAAGCAGTCACTCATTGCATTTTATTTGATACTTCGCCAAATAACTTTGGGTTTTTTCATGGTGTACTTTTATTTTGTAAAGCTACCTCCTGTTTAGCACTAGCGTGAATAAGCTTGACAAGAAAAAGGCATGGATTTATAATAAAACTGGTTAGGTTACTGCTAGATTAGAGCTGTCTTGATTTGGCTTTGAGAGGAGAACACTACTGCACATGGTACCTACTGAATACTTTTTTTTTTTTTTCAAATATACAGTACAATATACAATAGTACAAATAATAACACAGCTCAAGAAGGGCTCAGCATTCACAACATCTTCATTACACGCAAATATGCATTATACAAATGTAGAAAAACAAAAAATAATAAATAATACATTCGTATTTTATATTTCAAATTCCAAACAAAGTGCTTTTGTTTTTATGGCTTTGGGATTTGTACAATAATTTAGAGAATTACTAAAAGAGGGACTGAAATACAACAAATTTGGGTTTCTGACTAAAATTTACAGCAATATATATGGAATTTTGTTAGGATTAAGTTCAACACACACACACGCACACACACACACACACACTCACACATACACAATTTCATCTACTTGTGCCCTTACATCAAAGGCAGAGCTGCCATCAACTAGAGTAGAAAGCCCTTCGGGTTTGGACAGTAGAATTCTACCAGAGATCGATAAGTCCCTTTGAAGCCACATATTAAATTTAGTTTGAGGGTTAAAGTTTTCACATTGTCTTTTGTCTCCTTCTTTCATAATAGTAACACACATGTATTTCACTTTTTATGTCACAGGAATTCCTCATATTTGTAAGGCATTACAAGATTTGATGGGGAATAGTTCACATTTGGAAAGGTTTAATATGAGTCCTGAAGCCAAGGAAAATGTGGTTAATTGGTTAATAGCATAGTTTACCTGAGAACAATCGTTTAAAAAGAGAGTTGTGTTGTCAGCAAGATGACTTAAACATACAGAAGTGTTCAAAATTGTTGGTACCCCTCTGGTAATGAAAGAAAAATCAACAATATTCACTGAAATAACTTGAAACTAAAAAAGCAATAATACATCAAAATTTACTAAAAATTGTCCAACAAAAATCAAAGACTGATTTTCACCTGTGGTTCAACAGAATTATTAGAAAAAATAAAATAATGAAACTGGCCTGGACAAAAATGATAGTACCATTAACTTAATATTTTTTTTACATGCCCTTTTGAGGCAAACTCTGCAAACAAATGATTTCAGTCACTGTCAATGAGACTTCTGCTCTGGTCAACAGGTATTTTGACCCACTCCACATGAGCAAACTGTTCTTGTTGTCTCTGGTTTGAAGGGTGCCTTCTCCAGGCGCATGTTTCAGTTCCTTTCACAGATGAGATTGAGATCTGGGCTCACAGAAGAACACTTCAGAACAGTCCAATGTTTTTCTTGTGTGTTTTTAGCTGTGTGTTTTGGGTCATTATCCTGTTGGAAGTCCCATGGCCCATGCCTGAGACCAAGCTTTCTGACACTAGGCAACACATTTCGTTCCAAAATACCTTGATAGTTTTAAGATTTCATTGTATCTTGCACAGATTCAAGACACCCTGTGCCAAATGCAGCAAAACAGCCCCAGAACATGACCAAACCTCCTCCAGGCTTCACAGTAGAGATAGTGTTCTTTTCTTGATCTGCTTCATTTTTGCGTCTGAGCTGATGTGTCTTGCCAGAGAGCTCCAGTTTCGTCTCATCTGGACAAAGAACATTCTCCCAGAAGCTTTGTGGCTAGTCCATATGCATTGTGACAAGTTCCAGTCTCACTTTTTTATGACTTGCTCTCAACAGTGGTGTCCTCACATGAAGTCCACTTTGGCTCAAACAGTGATGGATTGTGCAGTCTGACACTCATGTACCTTGCCCTTCAAGTTCACATTTAATTTGTTTGGAGGTTGTTCTTTGGTTCCATTCGTATGATCCATCTTTTCAATTTGTCATAAGTTTTCCGCTTGCAGACGCATCCAGGGAGGTTGGCTACAGTCCTGTGGACCTTAAACTTGTGAAGAACATGTGCAACTGTAACCACAGGAACATCAAGCTGCTTGGAGATGGTCTTATGGCCTTTATCTTTAACCTGCTTGTCCATCATTTTCTTTCTAGTCTCCTGACACAGTTCTCTTCTTCTCTTTCTCTGATTCAAGTTCAGTGTTGTCTCCATCATGTCTCCAAACAGCACAATGACACATGTCATGTTTAAACAGGCAGACTGAATGAGGACAAGTTTGAAGACACCTGTGATTAGGGCTGGGCGATATGGATCAAAAAATATATCTTGATATATTTTGCTATATATTGATATACAATATATATCTCGACATCTGTACAGGAAAAATAACCCCCTAACTTGTGCCCTCTATTGACCAGCTGCCACTGCTAATATATTTTTTTCAATATTTTTTATTCAGTGATTAGGCAAGGCAAGTCAAGTTTATTTGTAACACAATTTGTACACAAAGCAATTCAAAGTGCTTTACAGAATAAGAAAAACATTAAAATCACAATAAAAAATCAAACATCAATAATCATCATAAATTAAAGCAATATGAAAAAAGAGAGGAGACATTTTAATACATTTGAGAGAAGAGTGCGGATGACGAAACGATTGGTAAACAGAACCTTTTTGAGCCTGGCTTCAACAGAGTCAAAGAAGATATTCTGTCTCAATGTTAGACTGTTCCAGGTTTGGCTGCGTGAAACTGAAATCTGACTCTGGCACCAGCAGAGGCGGTCCTGAGCTCCTCAGAGTGCGAGATGGTTTATGACACACATGTCACAGATGGACTTTTGGTGCTCGGCCATGGAGAGACTTGTACAAGCAGAGCCGCTTTAAAATCTCTGAGCCACAGGGGGCAGTGCAGAGACCTGAGCACAGGACTTATGTGCTCGTACTTCCTAGTTCGAGTCAGGACCCGAGCTGCAACTTTCTGGATGTACTGCAGCGTCTTGTAGCTCCTTTGGAGTCATTCTTGATCATTGTTATAAACATGGCCTAATATTTCATGGGAACAAAGGGTTAATATAATAGAATGGAAATGGACCAATCACAATTTTTCTTCCAGGCCTTCGCGAATACCCCTGTCACAGCATATATAAGCGAGACCGCAGCGTCACAAAAATCACTGGACGCCTCTATTTGGATGCTTGAAAGAAAGAAAAGAAAGAAAGAGAAAAACCCGGGAACCGGAGCTCGGAGCCCGCGGCCGGGCCGGAGCTCAGAGCTAAGCAACCTCGACCAATGAGATCATGAACATGATGTGAGTGTGCTGTCAGCTCATTGGTCACAGAGCAGGAGAGGCTGAGAATATGTTTGCTGTAAATTTTCTTATAAAGGGTCATTCCGTTGACTACACACTATTTTTGATTCTCACGGTAATACGGGACTAAGTGCGTCACTTTTCAGCTCAATACAGAACGCGTACTTTTGTTTCTGAATATGGGACGATTCCGTTTTCCAGGGGATGGTTTGTAACCCTACTGAATACTGGTCTTACGCCTCCCAATGTTTAATGTCAGAAATGTGCAGTTCTGACTAATCAGAGCGGTGCTATCGAGGGCTTAGGACAAAGCTAAGATAAATCTTATCAAGCTAACTTTTAGGCACGTTTAACTATTAAAATTTTTTAAAAAGATCATATTGTAAAAATACAGACTAATCGATCTTGCTCATGAACAGAGACACAGATTAGCCTTTACCAGTAGCTCACTCAGTGTTGCCAGATTGGGTTTAGTGATTTCCACCCAGTCACGTTTGAAAACCCGCTTAAACATGTAATGCATTATTGGGCTTTTTAAAAATATTGCCAGGATTGAGAAAACATGTTAAATATAAAACTGTATTTTCATTTATCAAAGAAAAAAATTTAATTTAGCCTAATTTTTCCAAAAACATGTTGTAACATAATCTATTGTCTTTAAAAAAAAAAACATTGCCAGAATTGAGAAAACATATTATGTAAAACATATTATGTAAAATGTAGAACAGTGTTTTCATCACGCATAAAAATGAATATTATCAGTGGTCGGCTATAGGCAAGGCAAGGCAAGTTTATTTGTATAGCACAATTCGTACACAAAGTAATTCAAAGTGCTTTACAGAATAAGAAATACATTAAAATCCTAATAAAAACAAATCAAAACATAAATAATCATGAAGATTAAAATTAAAAAAGAGAGACATAAATTAAAAAAGAGAGACATAAATTGGAGAGAAGAGTAGTATAGCCTCGGGAACCGCAAGAACAGCTGACAAACACACAGCCTGCCTACTTCTACATCGAAGAATTGAATCTGTGCAACAGCTGAACACCGGGGACGTCTGAACATAATGGATGTCCATTCATTTGTCCACAGGCCGGAGCTCACCTCCATAAGACTGGACAGGAGTGAAAGTCCCATACAGTTCTTTGTATTATTGTGTATCACGTTGATTGGTGTGAAAATAAAAAAACGCCCAAACTTGTTGAAAGTAGCCCAAATATTATATGCCTGCCCAATGTAGTCAAGAGAAACCCTCCCAATCTGACAACACTGGGCTCACTGCCGGTTGAACATGTGGAGTAGTGCTCTTTTCTCACGCAGGCACATGTGAGTGTACACAAGTGCACACAAGGAGACTTGAGAGATAAATGAACAATCTCAGATAAATGCAATATATAGTCCTCTATTACAGAATTAATTTGGTTTTTAGCATTCCTTAAATCAGAATTTGCTTAAATGTATATACGTTATTATTTCTGAACATTTCAGGGACTTTTGCTATTTGTCCCAGACCCACTTTTTTTTTCTTTTTTTTTTTTTTTAATGAAAATGGACAAGTTAAATAATTAGTACTTAATTAATTATGTTTTGTTTCTTGTGTATTTCCAGTGTCTGAGCTGAGGGTGGTGATTCTGGGGAGCGGCTGGGATCAGAGGAGCTCTGTGGGAAACCTGTTACTGAATGTGGTTGTGTTTGATGCAAAGAATGAACCTGAAAGCCCAACAGACAAACAACAGGAAACTCCAAGACAAGAAGATCTCAGTGATCAACTGTCCAGACCTGCTCCAGCTCGACCTCACTGCAGATGAACAGATAGAGTTAGTCAGAGACATAGCAGACGTCTGTGACCCTGGTCCTCATGTGTTCCTGCTGGTTCTACAGCCTGAAGACTTCACTGAGCAACACAACATCAGACTACAGTCAGTCCTGAGGAACTTCAGTGAGCAGAGCTTCCAACATTCACTGGTTCTGCTGACAGCAACAAAAGAGACAAGTGTAATGCAGGATTATGTGACTCCTCCCCCTCTGAAAGATATGATTAAAAAGTGCAAATACAGATATCAGTGGGTGAAGAGCCTTGAAACAAATATGATCTCTGAAGTACGTGAAGAGCTCTTGACTAAAATAGTTCAGATACTTAAAGAGAATGATGAAAAACATATTATCCATGATATATATGAGGATGCTTCTCCAGCGGCTCATCAGACCAAAGAAAGAGAAGGCCTCATTCTTACTACATTTAAAAAAGGTAACTGCACTGACTGTTGATTTAGGTTATAAACATTCATATGTTTCATTTAAGTAAATATTTCATTTTTCACAGGAATTAACATAGTCAAGATGTCACGTTCTGGTACTGGTTCTGGTAAGTCATTTTGAAAAAATGTTAATCTTCCCTATGATCATTCTCAGCATCACAGTTAATCATCCCATTATCAGTGGACTAAACAAAATACTTAAATGTTTCCCTCAGCACTGATGTCTAATGTGATTGAACTTTTTTTTTTCAGACTCTGCACTCAGGATTGTTCTGATTGGAAAAAGTGATGACAAAAAAACAAAAATGTTAAATTTTATTCAATCAGAAAATCAATGAGAATTTTGATTCACCAACACAACAAAACTTTATTGCTGCTAAGATTTGGAAAGAAAAAACACCAGTGGTAGTGAAGACCCCAGACCTGTTCAGTCTGTCTGTGGAAACTGTGAGAGAAGAAATGAAGAAATGTGTGTATCAGTGTTTTCCTGGACCCAACGTCCTGCTGCTGCTGGTGAAGCCTTCAAACTTCACTGAAAACAACAGGAAAACTCTGACCTTCATCCTGAGTCTGTTTGGTCCAGGTGCCTTTAAACACTCCATGGTGGTTCTCACACACAAGCGCCAGATCACCCTCAGTGTTTCAAAGCTCATTAGTGATTGTGGAGGAAGATTCTACAACATGTTTGATGGAAACCACAAACACTTGATTGATTCTCTCAAGAGAATTGTAGATCAAAATAAAGCATCATTCCTTACCCTCACTGTGGAGCAGAAACCCTCTCTGAACCTGGTTCTTTTTGGAGGGAGCAGAACAGAGAAGACCTCAGCAGCTGAGTCCATTTTAGGGCGAGCAGAGCTCCCTGCAGTGAGTAGCACAGAGCAGTGTGTTAAACATGAGGGAGAGGTCTGTGGGCGTCGTGTGTCTCTGGTGGAGCTGCCGGTTCTGTCTGGAAAACCTCTGGAGACAGTGATGCAGCAGTGCCTCCAGTGCATCTCCCTCTGTGCTTCCGAGGGCGTCCATGTCTTCATCCTGGTTCTACCGGTGGCTCCGCTCACTGATGAAGACAAGGCCGAGCTGAAGATCATCCAGGACACACTCAGCTCTCGAGTCCGTCTCTTCACTGTGATTCTGTTCATTCATTCAGAGCCCACTGCTCCAGCTGTGCTTCAGTTTGTCAAAGGAGACACAGACATCCAGGAGCTGTGTCAGAGCTGTGGAGGAGGATATTTTATATTCAACCCCAGAGACCAACAGCAGGTCCCTCAGCTGCTGGATTATTTAAACAGACTGAAGACCAAGAGTTTATCTTGCAGTTACACCACAGAGACATTTCAACAAGCTCAAATAGAGAAGATTTCAGCTCAACACAAAGAAATTGAGGACATGAAAAGTAAAACGAACAGATGTGAGTATAGTTGTTAATAATTTTATTTATACTAGAGACAGGCATTCGATTAAAATTTCTTAATCGATCATCGGGAGAATTAATTTTCAATTAATCATTAACATTTTTATGTTAAAATTATCATCATTATTATTACTATTACTAATCTGCATAAATAAACTCAATTTTACAACATATAAACCAGAACCAGTGTAGAGCCACATCAGCCTGTTTCAGATTAAAATGTGTTTAATGCAGCTTTGACACGTGTTTATGTTTTGCAGAAACGAAACTTAAGGCTTCCAAAAAAGTGGGCATGGCCCCAAATTTTATATTCTTCCATTTGGTCATTTTAGAAATTTTTTACAATTTTTTTCCCACTCAAATCTGAGCTGGATCATAGGAGAGGGCGGCTGATTTCATATGGACTGACCCTTAAAATAAATTTTGATTGAAATTTGCAGCTTCGCTGCATGTAAACCATGACAGTTATCAGAATAAATTGGATAACTTTAGATGTTCCACTTCTCTAGATGATGTACGGTGATTTTTAGCCCTGTGGGTGAAGCGCCTTCAGAGGAGTTCATTCAAATGCCACGTCAGCGAAAATGCGAAGTCAGCATTTACACAATTTTAATCCAACATGGCCTTCTGGTTTGTCAGGGAGCTAGGCCATAATAATATATGGCCCGAGCCTGTAACGAAGTAACTGGCTCCTTTCCTTACAAACAATCTCAATTTTGAGGGCCTAAATGTCGACGAAAAGTCTCCAAACCGGGCATCAGATCAACCAGTCCAGTGAAAAATTTGATAAAATGGGGATCGCGACAATGCCCAAAGTGACCCGACTCAACAGCGCCCCCTTGAAATTTCTAAATTTTGAAATGAATTGGAGGTTGA